ACAAAAAATCCTCTAAAAATATTTTAAATTCTAGAAAATTTTTACGATTATCTAAAATATTTCGTATAGTTTTAAATAAACATTTCATTGAATGAATTGCGTTAAGAAATGTTTTTAAAATAAAGATGACCGACATATCGACCGCATCCCAAATAGTTAACCATAGATTATTAAATGACAAATCATTAATTATGTGAATCTCTTGAAAGCAGTTTATCAAACAAATCATTTAAATACCAGTAATATTTGCCATTACTTATGGCCCATAAGATAATAATGGAAGTCATCAATAATGAGAAACTAAATTAATTTCTGCTTTGATTGCAGATAATAATGATTTGTATTTTAAATGAATAAACGAAATAAACTTTGAAACAATTTTTGAAGCACTTCTTATGAACGATTAGTACGTTATATAAGAATAGCTTTAAATATCATATGAATTGACTGTCAAAACATTCAACCATTTGATTGAATGATCCCCGACTGGGCTGTAGTTCACCACTCCATACACACTATTATTGCCGCTTAAGAAATATATTCATTTCATTTAAATTTTAAATAATTGCAAATACTTTTCATTTTTATTTAATGTAAAAATGTTTTTTTGATAAAATTTAATTATCTTTGCATTTACTAAAAATTCCCAGAATCCTAACAAATGTTAAAAACAGCAATCATTCGGCTATAAAAATGACATAAAAATGTTTATTTAAAATTCTTAAAATGTATTCAACTATAAAAATATAGACAATAATTATTGTTATATAAATAATGATTTATTATATACTGTTTTTATATTATTATAATTATATAGTGTATTAGATTAGTATTGTTAAAAACATAAGTCTATATTTTATAAGCACTTTATTTATCTTATTTATTATTCTTAGTTTTGGAGAGAGAGAGAAAGAGAGAGAGAATCAAATAGAAAAAGGTTTTGAATTGTAAGTCCAATATAATAGTTATATATCGTAAATATTAAGCTAGATGATATAATGAGAGAGAGAGAGAGAGAGAGAGAGAGAGAGAATCAAGGTAAAATAGTAAACACTTTATCATTAAATATAAACTATTAAATTTTTTAACGAAATCATTTTGAAAAATATAGATTATATATTTATTATCTTGACTTATAATGATTGACCATAGTGCGAATCCGAGTTATTATTACAATTAATACACCCATAAAGTTGCATGCAACTAGACATGAATTTTACACATTTTGTATACCGTGAACATTATGGTAATTTTAATTCTATGAGAAATTATGCACTAATATTAATAATTACACTTATTGTGTAAGAATTACATTTCATTCACTTAAAACCATCGTTAAAATTGTAGTTAATATTTATATATTAATTCTAAAATGGATGTAATATTCAATACAATTAATATAAACTATATAATTTATACATCTAAATAATGTACATAATTTGAATACAAAATATAGTGAATCAATACTAAAAGTATTGAAGTATTGAATGACATATTGTGTTGAATTGTGCGCCAAATGTCGACCACAACAGGCATTGGCTCTGATTTGCAAATCATATGATTATATCGTTTGTATTGTAAACACTGTTTACAACACAATTCAATACAAATCCAATTGTTTATCATTTAATTACATCTTAAATACGGTTCATATGATTGAAAACTAATGGCATTTATAGTGAGAAATGCTCTCAAAATAAGCCATTTGTTGGCAAACAATGGTTTGAAGAGCAATAAAACGGCTTATATTGCAGTCAGAAATTGTATGCATTTGTCATTGAATTGAATGTTAAAAGTAATGATTAACTGATTGTTTGGATGTATAGGCGGTTGGATCAGAGACTGGAAACCCGGTCCCTATCCCAAGACACAGGAGGAAAGGGATGCCGCGGCCAAGAAGTACAATCTGATCCCTGAGGACTACGAGACCTATCCCGAGGGCTCCGGTTATGGAGATTATCCCAAATTACCGGTAATTATCTATTAATTGCGATCACTATTGCACAGCATATCGACAACTGATCCCATATTGTTGTTCACACCTAACAGGCGGTCGGCGAGGATGTGAGGGATCCGTACGAAGATCTCGACTATCACTTCAGGCGACGAAACTATGGCGAAACGGTTTGTCTCCTCAAAAAGCAACTCATCATTAATGCTATAATTTGTTAATTGATTTACATTTGATTCAAACATTTAGTTGAATATAGACTACGATATCTATACATCCGATCGACACAATCCTAACGAGACGTTGAGATATACACCGTATGTGTTGTCCACTCACTAGTGGTTATCATTTTAACTCGTGTTTTACACTAAATCTAATTGTTATGTGAAATACAGGCTTCAAATGGTGGCAACATTTTTGGGCTCTTTCCTCTTTCTGTACTTCTTGGCCCTAACGGACACTTACTTCGATCTGAGGAATGCCTGGCAATTGGTATGTGTCTTCTCTCCTGTCAATCAATACATTTCAATCAATTTAATTGTAATTCTGTTTATTTTGATAGAAACCCAAACAATACCCAAAGCCTGGTGTCGTTCACTACACTTTCGAGCCCTTAGACTAATAGCTCTTCTAATTATCACTCAATTGGTTATTGAGATTTGTTTTAAACTTGAAATTGAATTAATTTGATTCATAGCAAAAAGTATATCTGTTTAATGAAAATGTAATTTATTTGAATAGTAAATAAAAATTAGTCGTTTATGGTTTTAGACTGAATTTAATGGTAAAATACAAGACATTTGTGATTAAAAATGTTAATTTAAATGGCATTTTAATAAATAGATGCTATGGAGTGAACATGTCTTAAGGTGTTTGCGATTGTTTGCGTAAATTGTGGACAACTTTGGCCAACGCTTCCGGATTGACGCCACTCTCCAAGAGTTTGAAGCAAATGACGAGACTTTCGGGATCTAAGTCTGTCTTCAGTATGGATGACATCTCGCATATCATATCCGTTATCTCTTTGGATCCGTTGAGGCGTTCATCGAGTGGTGACATCAAACAGGCCTTCAGATCATTGAAATCATTGCTATTTGTGTCCATTTTTTGGCGATATTTACAATAATTTCAATTCATATGAGATTTGCATTCAATTGAATGAACCGTTCATTCAATACAATAGACTGTAAACACGAGTCTGTGTTTCGTTCACAACAACTGTTACACACTTTCTGCGCGTTGTTTACGATTAACACGTGTTTAACCATAAGTTGTCTGTAGTTTTGGGACCAAAACTTTCGCTTACTTTTAAATACCGGACAAGTCTTCACACAATTGTCTTTGGATTTAGCGTTGATTTTGTGGTCAATCTGTTTGAACATAGGCTTGAATTTGGGACCAAATGGGCGACCAATCAAGTGATGAGTCTTCGGATTGGAGTAGTGCTGAAGAACTGGAAGATTGGACACAAGAGTCGAGCGAAACATTGTGTCTGTTTTGTGACCAAACATTGAGATCAATATCCGATTGTTTGGTTCACTCGAAGACTAGACATGATTTGGATTTCATTAGCGTTTGTGTCGACAATAAATTAAATTCATTTGATTTCATAAAACTTATTAATTATACGCGACTTAAGAGACCGGAGAGCAGTTCAATGAGACAATTGATTCAATCCAATGACTATCGATCGGAACTCTATATGAAACCAGTCTTAACGGAACCGTTGGATCCATTCCTCACTTTCGGTATTTGTTAAACATTTTTCTCGGCTTTAATTTCGAATCGAAATTTTCGATACAAATAAATAGTAAAATCTGTTTTAATTTCCAGACATTGAAAGTGAATACAAAGAGTGTGACAATGAGTTAACCGGTGGTAAAAGTAATGATAATTTAAATTATGAACACTTATCTCATGAACAACTCGTACAACGATTAACACAATCCGAAGAACGCGTTAAAACACTTGAGAAAGAGGTGTCAGATATGAAGAGTTTAGTGAACAACTGTATGGACGAAGGAGTGAGTGCTGTCCCGCAGGACGTGAATGTCTCGCAGCTGTCTGTGTCTGAAGACTCGTATTACTTCACATCGTATTCCCATTTCTCAATACATTACGAGATGTTAAGCGACAAAAGCAGAACCAATGCCTATAAGAACTCTATTCTTCGAAATGAAAGTTTTTTCAAAGATAAGACAGTTTTAGACATCGGTTGCGGAACCGGAATACTCAGTCTTTTCGCAGCCAAAGCCGGCGCCAGACTTGTTGTGGCCGTCGATCAAAGCGAAGCAATATATAAGGCAATGGATATTGCGATCGAAAACGGCATGAATT